TCAGCTTGAAGGGGAAATTCCCTTTGCGCTGGCATGAGAAATATTCAATTTTATCTTAAATTCAAGGCCCACGCTGCAACGCATCAGGCTTGCTGATGCACCACGCGTTTTTGCGTCTAACTTGCAGATTGTTAAGAGCAGGAATGGTTCTTGCGCTGCAATTTAATAACTGGACTTATATTGCAAGGGGGGGGGGCGCCGGTTGGGATGAAAGTGTTGCATTATAGGGCTGCGCAAACCTCCAGCATGTATAATCATCAATTTTTTGCACGAAACCCGTTCGTTTTTTCGTTGAGTGCTCATACATTGAAAACATGTAAATATGAGGAAATCAGAAGAGGAGTATAAAATCTTCAAAACTCACTCGCTTTTGAATTGCGACAAAATTGAATATTTGTCATGTTTACGTGCATGGAATTTCACTTTAAACTGAATTTAGTCCAAACGTGAATGTAGAATATCACTGCAAAGTTACAGCTTCGCGTCTTGCCCAGAAAGCAAAATAGCCACTTCGCTACAAATATTTTTGAAGTACCTTAAATAGTGACTCAAGTGTAAATCGAAGCTCAGTTTAGGTATGCGATTTACTAAATGAATAGTAATTATTGAGACAAAATTTCATCTATTGTTTTTCAGCTAGTTTTCAAATTAGCGCAGTACCAGTTATGAATTTTGACACGACCATACGAGTGGTGTGGGTATGCGCGGTAGCTGAATTAAAAATCTTTAGCACATGCATGCACAGAGAATATCCTTGCAGAGTTTCAGCTTTCCATCTTATCTGGATCACGAAATCGTTTCCCGCCAAAGAAATTTGCACATTTTTTCTTGGAGCGGAGGGAAAGCGGGGGAGGCCTACAAGCAAAGCTTTTGGAACGGGAGAGTGACATATAGGATGGGAATATGCTCCCAAAATTTCAGTCAGCCAGCCTTATTGGTTGCTGATTTGAAAGTGAGTGACAAAGTTCACCCGCTGCCGAACACACACATGAACGACCTACCGGTAATATGCATTTTTGCTCACTGTGACAGCGCTATAGTAAAATACGAAATCCGAAAAATGCGCTTGTTATGCAAAAACGCGTAACAGGTGCATTTTGCGAATTTCGTATTTTTCTTCCAGCATCCTATGCACTGTGGAATTTGCATTTTTTCATAAACCACCGCTCACCGGAAAAATGATTGGGCTCCATGCGAAATTGAAAATCATGCGCGCTGGGTGTCCATACGGCCTAATTGTGCAACACTATTGTCTCAGCTGGCGTTCTTTGTGAAGGAATATGTCAAAACACAACATGAGTCAACGTAAACGCAGGAACCACACCTGCTGTTAAAAATACGACCGCAGCAAGTTCAGCGAAAGAATGCATGATTGCACCAGCAACTTGGTGTATTACAGCTTAGGTTAAATATTTAATCAGAGGGGCAACGCCTCTACTCCTCGGTGTCAGTTTGCTTAGGAAGATTGAACACTGACAAATTAAAACAAAGAATAAGGCAATATAAAAGGGTAGAAGAGGCTTTCATTTCTGCTGCTGAACTTGGGCCGAATGGGGAAACTTCTGAACAAATGCTTTTCAGTACTACAGCGCAAGAGAAACGTGTAATCACAGTTTTATCCTGGTTTTGTCTACCTTTGTACTCTCCAGTAGCAGGGACCGCTTTGAAGAAACCATGTGTATTTAATTCGCGCGATTATTCTTATGAAAAATGTTCATTTTCCGAAATCTTGAAATGAACCTAACTTGCCGAGATCGCAAACATAAAAACATTCAAACATAAAAACCTAGTGCCACTCCATCTTT